GGGGCGAGCACGCTGCGGCGGCCATCGAACCCCCCATCGAAAGGTCATGGCAATTTTTCAACACCAGGAGCGGCGTCATCAAAACCTCATCGGAACCTCATCAAAACCCAATCAAAACCGACCAGGCGCACATCGGCAAACCGCCGCCGAGAACGTCATCAGAAGTCATCAAAACTCATCAAAAGTCATCAAACCCCCATCAAAAGTCATCACCGATTTCAACGGCGCGCGGGGGGCATCAAAACCCATCGAAAGGTCATCGAAAGGTCATCAAAAGGTCATCGAAAGGTCACCAAATTTCGACGGCGCGCGGGGGGCCATCAACACCCATGAAAAGGTCATCGGACTTTCCACGCCAGAGGGCATAGCCCCCCCGCGCGGCCATCGGGGCCCCGCCTCCCCTCCTCTGCCGCGACCGCCATTCGGATCGTGGCGCGCGTCTGTAAACTGCGTGCGCCGCCCCTCGTGGCCCTGTGGCGAGCCGAAACGCCGCCGGAGCTCGGCGCGGGCGGCCCCTGGGGCAGCTGGCGCACGCCGCGGCGCGCGCTCGGCGCCCTCTCACCTCGGCTGGCGGCGCTGGGCTGCCCCGAGGCGGCTTGGGAGAGCATGCGGGGCTTGCCCCGCCCCCCCTCCCCGCCGAACCTCGCCGCGCCCTCTCGCCGAGCACGCACCGCGCGGCGCGTGCGCTGCTGCGCTCGCCCGACGCCGCGCTCGCAGCGCGCCGCCCTCTCCCTCTCCAGCCCATCGGCCATGCCACCATCTCCGCCATCGCACCTTCGCCCAGCGATCGGCGGCGCGGGGGCGCCGAGCCAAGCGCGCCTGATCATCGCGCGCATGCTCGGAACTTGCCAGGGACGCACGCTTCCAAGCCGCCCGAGGCACGCTGCGGGCATCGCAAGTAAGTCGGTAAGATGGGGGGCGGGAATCCGGAATTTTCGCAATCTACAGGGGTGCCCCAAAAAGTTTCGCAGCGGGGGGCTCCGAACAGGGGGGCCATAAATTGCGGCGCGTGGCGGGATGTCGCTCACGCGCCCGACGGGTTCGGAGCGCGGTCGCTGCCGACGGCGGCGCCCGATTGCTCGCGCGAAAAAAATCGCCGCGCCGCGCGCGCGTCGGGGGGGGGGCCTCGCGCGCCTCGGGGGCGCCCCGCTGCTGCATCCAAGCAAGCGCGGCGCGAGACCAAGCGCGCCGCCTCCGCGCGCGGTCGGTGCATCGGCGCGGCGCGGGCGCGCGCGTTGTCGGATATCGGAATGCGGCGGCGCCCCCTTGGCGCGCGAGGGCAGCCATCGGCCACCGCTCCCTTTCGGGCGCGGGCCAAGTGCAGAGCCAGCCTGGCGGCGCAGAGCGGCGGGGTTAGACCGCGTCGGCGCAAGCTGCGCCAAGGGCAGCCGAGGGGAAGGGCGCTGCGCGCGGTAGCGTGCCTTGGCAATCGCGCGGCCCCTCGCCCCATGGCGTCGGTTTGCGCGCCTCGCGCGGCGGCTTCGGCTGCGCGCGGCGCCCATGCGCGTGGGCTTCTCCTGCGCCAACCCAGCTGGCAACGCGTTGCATCTGTCGGACGCGCGGGCGCGCCGTCGACTCCCCGCGCGCGGCGTCGCGCCCGCGGGGGTTTGTTTGGCCCCTGGCGCATTCGGACGCGCGCGTCCGACGCGCTCGCCGCCGATCGGCCGCGTTCGATGGCGCAACCGCGCGCGCGGCTGTTCCGCGGCGCGACGTCGCCGCCAGAGCTGCGCGCCCAACGCGGTCCATCCATTGCTTGCGGGGGTGTCGGCCGCGCACAATTAGCGCCGCGGGCCCCATGCGCTTGCGCGGCATCGGCCGCGCGCGCGAGCCGCGCCAGTCTGGCGCCCAGGCGCGGCCGCTGCCCCACGCAAACAGGGCGCAATCGCCGAGCGCCGCTCGGGCCCTCCGCGCCGCTGTTCATGGATTGAAGCCAGCGTCACCTCAGCTGCCGTCTGCAGTTGTTGCGGCCGTGGTTGATGAACATCCTGGAGGTGTCGCATGTCGCCGCGATCCATGGGAGGGCGCCACGCGTCGCCGAGCGCGCGCGTTCTGGTTGCTTGCGCAGCGGCGCCGTACCTTGGCGGCTGCCAGTTCAATCCCAGGGGTCGCGCGCCGTGGCGCGCGATTGGTTTAACCAGCGTTCCTCATCAGGCGCGCGCAGTTAGTACAAATCTTCGGTGCCCCTAGGAGTCATCGGTTTCGCGCGCTTGCTGCCGCCCATGATGCGCGGCTGAGGTGAATAGGGCGGCGCCCATCGCAACGCGATTGGCAGCATCATGTAAGTATGTAAGTCCACGCGCGGCTTCCGTGCTCCATGGTCGCGGACGGGGGATGGTGGTGGTGGTGGTGGGGGGGGGGGGGGGGGGTAGGTGCGCCTGACACTTAAGGCGCGAGGCGCGTGCTGGTTGCATGGCAAGCGGCCACGTAGATTGCGTTGTCTGCCGCCCCGTCATCAGGATCCCATGTCAGTCCACGGGATGGCCCCATAGCTGCCTTGTGGGGGATGTCCCCAGCGCGTCCAACCACGTGGCGGCCATGCATCCATTGGTCGTGCTTGCATCCACAAGCCGTCTGCGTGCCATTCCAGGCTTACTTCCTCGACTCGTGGCGCGTTTGTGTAGGAAGGGTCTCACGCGCCGCGTGCCCTCCATGGGTTGCGGGAATTGATTTGATAGGCAATCTGCCAGTGTTGGACATTGTCGTTGTGCCATTCCAGTTTCTGGCCGTTTCTGGACACCCGCAACCCGTTGCATCCTTGTTGTTCCTTATTCAATGTTTGGCACCCATTTGCATCCACGCCGCGTCGGCAGAAGCCAAGGCATACACCGTGTTTGGTAAACGCATTTGAATAGATTCGTGCGTGCGCAGGCACGTGCAACGATGATTGCTCACGGTTGGTACGTTTCGGAGTCATTCGTGAAGCGTCGCCCCGCATTGCCATGTATATATTCCGGAGGCGCGGTGGTGACCGATGCGCGTTGCCTTGGCAGTGGTCGTTTGATGTATCAGAGGTCGCTGTCGCACTTGATTGATCAATTGTTCTTTGCTTCGTGATTGAGGTACGTGTCTTTCGTCTTGAGATTCAGGACCACCTGAATGGTGGGCACTTGTCTTTGGAGCCACACCCGCGCACGTGTTGAATGACCCACGCGTGTCTACGCGCAGCAAACGACCGTAGTATGACACTTGGCGGCTTGGACCGCGATGGAGGGCGCATGTTCTTTTCATAATGGTTTGGCTCTCGGGCGTCGCGTGCACTCGCCCTTTGCGTTGTAGCAGTTGCCATCGAGGGTGTTCTTTTCAATGCGTGCGGGCTCCGATTGAACGCAGACATCACTTGGCCAATATTATGATAACGGTGTCGGCATTTATCCGTTGAGGACAGTTTCGATGTGCGATCTTGTTTTGTTGCATCCAATTGCAATGCTCAGTTTTCTGAATCAGAGTCTCTGCCCACTGGAGCACGAGAAGGATCAGGAGGAACAGGGCCGCGGAGTGCGAGGAGGAGGGGGAGGACCAGGAGTGGAGATGGAGTAGGAGGTGTAGGAGGGCAGGTGTAGGAGGAGCACCGATACCCAGCGCGATCGCATGGCCTCAAGAGCGGACGACGACTGCAGCACGTAGAACAAGCAACGGCAACGATTTCGCTTAAGCGAACGGCAACCAACGTTGTCTGCAAAGTTATGTAGGCTGAGCGCGTGCACGTGAGCAGCCAGCAGCGCATTGCATAGCATCGCATAGCATAGCATCGCACTCAACTGTGGCCTGCTCGCGTAAAGCACACGTAGGTAGTACTATGGCGGGTGGTCAGGGGAGACGGCGGAGTCGCCGTCGTGTTATAGAAGGCCACTGTTGTGTCGCTCTTGCTCCTCATCCTGCTCCTCCTCATCCTCCTCCGCCCTCCCGCCATCCTTCCCCAGTCCCTCCTAGTGATGACCCCCGCATCCTCCTCTACTTACTCTCATTGCCTCCAGTGGCCCCCCCTCTTCTCACTCCTACCCCTCCTCCCCTCGATGGTGCACCCCCGACTCATAGTCCATTCCTGCCCCCACTCCTCGCTACTACTCCTACTCCTACTCCTACTCCTCCTCCTCCTCCTCCTCCTCCTCCTCCTCCTCCCCCTCCTACTCCTACCCCTGTGCCCCCCGCACCTCCCACTGCTCGCCCTGCTCCTCGTGCTCCCCACGCGCCCACGCCCCTAGGGGTTGAATGGGATGAGTAGGTCGGTAGGTTGAGTAGGTCGGCAGGTGCGTTCGGGGTGTTTTGGCGCGCCCTCCTTGGACCTCACATTGGGCCCCCTTCCTTTGGCCCCCTGGACCTCTCACGCATTGGACTCTGCCCTTCAAGGCGCCCCCCCCTGGAGCTCATTGAGGCCGCCCCTTAGGGCTGCACCCTTGGAGCCTACAAGTAAGTAGGATATTGAGCTAATATGTGGACGTGCCTGGGTTGCAGGGTCTCAGCTCAGGCAGGGCAGGCTCATGTAGGGGCAGCTGGTGCCGTCGTGGCTCAGGTAGGGCGCGCCAGGTAAGGGTAGGACAGGCCAAGTAACATAAGCCAGTCATGCCGCAGGACATGGTTGATAACTGAGGGCATTGTAGGTCACAGGTTGCACAACATACGACGCGATAGGGTAGCGAAGCAGTAGGTGGGTAGGAGTAGGCGTAGTGATGAGGCCCTCCTTCTGGACCCACTTTGGGACCTCATCGTGGCGCCCTGGGCTCTCATCGGGACCACTGCCCCTCACGGCAGCCCCCCTTGGGGCCCCCTTTGTGGCCTTTCCCTTGGGGTTCCAGCTTGGAGCCTGCGACTGAGTTAGGACATCCACCCTCCACCCTCCACCCTGGTAAAGTCATCAAACCTCCACCCTGGTAAAGTCCACCACCAGTCAGGATCCTCCGTGGCAAAATCCCTCCAACCTTCAACCTCCTCCGTCTTGGAGCCGTTTTGGCGCGGCGTTTGCGGCAGCGCGGCGACAGCGTCGCCTTTTTTTGGCCCGCAAGGGCCCGAGCGAGTTCCAGGCTAGAGTCGGAGCCGGGAGCTCCGAGGTTGCCTGCAATGGCTTGCAAGGAGCGTCAGGCGGCAGCGGACGGTGAGGACGCTCCAGCAAGCAAAGTTGGCCTCCCTCGCTGCGGCAAGGCTTCGGGCAGTGGCACCGACCCCGTGGCTTGCGCCCGCTGCGACGAGCCCGTGGATCGGCAGTCGGGCTTTCGAGGGAAGGCCAGCGGACGCGGCAGTCTGCCGATGTGCGGCTGCGACCAGTGCTACACGGTGTTCGTTCGCCATTTCCAGCGGGACATGGCTTGGCAAGACTACGTCGAGAGGTGCCGTGAGGACGAGGACTTCAACGAGGACTGCGAGATGAAGATGCAGGCCGACGTCGAGCCTGCCGCCAGTATTGACGATGCTCTCGGTGACCACGGCAGCGTCGAGGTAGATGTGATATACGGCCAGGAGATCAGCAAGACGTGGATGCAGTTATCCAAGGACCACTGGGCTGATAAGGTCTGCCCGAAGGGGGTGGCTGGCATGGCGCCTGAGATGTGCAAGGTGGAGGAGACTCGCGCTGGCTCCGCTACTCAACCATGTGCGAGCTCGACTGGCGTCATCTGCCAGCACCCGACGAAGCCCTACACGGAGATCAAGAACTACACCAGGACGGAAGTACGCATGAGCACGGTCAAGATCACGGCCGCGAAAGCGGCAGCCTCAGGATGAGAGCAACATACATTCAAGCAGGGGATCACGAAGATCAGGCAGAAGCAGGCGACGATACTCAGGGGGAATGCCAAAGTGCCGACGCTCGCCCTGTTGCAGGACATTGCAACCTCGGAGGCTGCCAACCGTGGGCTCGCGGTGCCGCCAAAGGCCTCTGGTGCAAGGCGTGCTGTTTCGGAGCTTTTGGCCATCGAGTGCGGGGGCGTCGGCGCGCTGGAGGGCGGCGCAGGCGATGGCGACGGCGATTCGCAGGGCGCGGTCTCGCTGAGCCCCGCTGGCCCCAGTGCCACGGCGGCTCTTGCGACCGCGAGGGGCTCCACCGCTCGCCGAGCTACGGGCGCGAGCTCAGCGACGCAGGGCAAGTCTTCTACTCCTACGCCGTCGCGGATCGGGAGGCTTTCGTCAGGTACCTTGGCTGCCTTGGATTCGCCGGCAGGCGCATCGGAATCACCTGCTCCAGTTCGCGACCGCTCGAGGTCGCCAGCGCCGGGCCACGTGACGCATCTGAGCTCTGGGCGCAAGGTTGTTCCGAAGGCGACGCAGGGCGCCGTGGCTAACGACAAGACGCGGTGGGAGCAGCTGAAGCAGGACGTCGTCATCTCTCACATCCTCGACGGCATGCCGAAGGGCGATCGCGTGTACTCCTTGAAGAGGTTCAAGCCTCAGTCGCCCAGCATCGCAATCATGGCTGAGACATTGTACAAGAAGGCTGAGACGGCGACGCTGCTAGCGAACAGCCTGAACGACATGAGTTGGGATCATATGTGTGCGCACCTCAAGGTTCTCTCAAACGAGGAGGTCCAAAGCGCCTACAGTTTCTCACAGGACCTGCTCAGGAAGTACTTGCAGCTGGCCGAGCCCTCGATCGATCAGATCACGGATGCGATCTCGCCTGTCACAGCTTGCTCCGACGCCTTCAACATGTACGAGCCCAAGCTCTCCAGCATTGCGGGGAACATTGACTCGATGGTGGCGGTGTCTCAGGAGATCCTCATGGACATCGCGGTGCTTCCTGGCTTGGCGCGGCCCGCCTTGGTCGAGCACATGCAGGCGCTTGGGGTCAGCTTGACCGACCAGTTCAGTGCTACCATGCCAGAGTGGAGCGCCAGCGTCAAGATCTACTTCGAGAAGGTTAGGGGCGTGGGTCTCTTGCTGACCCACTTGGGCAACGACGACCCTGAGACGTTCTCGGACTGCGCTCCGCCTATGGCATTGCTGGTGGGTTTGCTGACAGGGGGGTTATCGGATCCAGAATGGCAGTCTCTCTCGGAGGCCTTCGGGAAGCACGAACCATGGGCCGAATGGAAGTCTTCGTTTCGACGGGCTGCGTCGACTGACCCCCAAGCTGCCCCGAAGATGAACGAGCTGATCCTGAAGCTGCACGCAGCAGACCTCGATGAAGATGGCTTGGCTGCTCTTGAGTCTGCGATCTCGTCCATCGGCCATTGGAGGAAGACGTGCCGTGGCAAGGCATCGTCGACACTGAAACCGGAGCAGGCGGCCCAGGAGACCAGCAAGAGGCTGGCAACTCAGATCGTCGACAGTTCAGATGCCCTCGTCAACTTGGGCTTCCTGGGCAAGCTCGAAGTGATCATGCACCACTTCTCTGTGGCTGCGGACTTCGCGCTGACCGAGGATGGTGGTATATTGGAGGGTACGTACGTCCGCTTGCTGGACAAACGTAGCGAGGTCGAGATCTGCAGGAGTGAGGTTGAGATCCTGGCGGCGGCCCGCAAGTACCTTGGTGATCCCACAGGCGAACGCAGACGCTCTGCACGGCACCCTCCAGAACAACAAGAAAGTTGCCATCAGCGGGGGGGCTGAGATGGCCGTCATCGCCAGGACTGCAGCCCTGCTCCACCAGAAGATCGAGCTGCTGAGGTCGATCGACGTCGATGGGCTGGTGCAGCGACCTGAGTTCAGCACGTTGGTCCGCGGGGGCTTGCTGCTGGAGAGCATCGGAGACCTGCTGATGAAGACGATCAAGCACGACGGCGACGGGAGCAACCTCAGGGTAGCCATGAACATGAGGGGCTACGATGTGAGATCGAACCTGCTGACGGCACAGCTGCTCGAGAAGTTCCAGTGTACGGCGGTGGACCCGAATGCAGACTACAAGATGATCAAGGACGCATTCGATGAGCTCGGGCCGTTGATCAATACACCCCCTTCGGCGACCTCCGACGAGTTCGACGATGTGCTCACGGAGTACGACTTCGGCGCCTTCAAGGCGTTCTCAGAGTTGGCGGCCCCTTGGAAGCTCGTTGCCGCTGCTGCTCTGAAGGCGCGCGCCGAGTCACGCGTGGAGGACGCCGCCAAGGCGGCCGACGAGGTCAACGAGAAGCTTGCGGCCATCGCAGGCGACATGGCGGACGGCAGCGACTGGCTCGACGGCTTCGATGGAGACAGCTCCGACTGGGCGGCGCGGCATGCGCACGCGCGGGCCACGGTGTTTCGCCAGACAGGCATCAGCAACAAGATCAAGCCACTCGAGCGGGAACTTCGCGAGAAGCAGGCCGTCTTCAGCAGGATCGCAAAGGATTTGCAATGTTGCGGAGTTCGGCTTCCAAGATGCCCGCGATCGTTGGCAGTCGACCGTTGCGAAGATTAACTTGATTGTGACAGTTGCGTCGCTGGCTCAGGCGGCGTCGGCAATGGGGCCGCAGGGCGCGGGCGGACTGCAGCGCAACCTCGACGCGATGCAGGCCAAGAGCGTGGCCGTTGAGAGCACCCCGCCTGCGCTCTGGGCGGAGGTCCAGCGCAAGCTGGCGCAGCGAGGGCGAGGAGCAGGCCGCCCCGCTGCCGCGCCCAGAGGGGGAGGGGTGAGGAAGAGGGGGGGGGGGGGGGGGGGGGGGGGGGGGGGGGGGGGGGGGGGGGGGGGGAAAGGGGGGGGGGGGGAGGGGAGGAGGAGGAGGAGGAGGAGGAGGAGGAGGAGGAGGAGAGGAGGAGGGGGGGAGAGGAGGAGGGAGGAGGGAGGAAGAGGGAGGAAGGAGGGAGAGAGGGGAGGCCGCCCAGCAACGCACGACGGAGACGAGGGGCGCCGCCGCTGTTGCCGACGAAATTTTTCCTCCTGAACCGCCGCCTCCCTCCTCTCTCTTCCTTCTCTGATGTTGCTTCCTTCCCACTGCCGCCTCCGCCCTCCCTCCGTCTCTTCCCCCTTCCTCTGCCTCCTCCTCCCTCTGCCTCCTCCTCCTTCCTCGTCCGTGTCTCCACCAACCCTCCCTTTCCTCCGTGGCCTAGTTCTCTTGATGCTGATGTGTATGTTATCCAACTGTGCCAATGGGTTCGCCCATCAATACGTAGTCTTGGAATCGGCCCTCTAGTGGACAAACCACCCCTAATGTCACGGCTATTTTGTTAACCCTTCGCCTGCCCAGGAAAGTGTTGATGACCTCTTTGGGAGCCCCCCGAGGGTGGCGATCACCCAACTTTGACGCCAGGGTGGAAGGCATCGAACTCGATGGTCGTTTCGGACCATCAAAACCCATCAGTTGTCATACGCGCCGCCTAGACTGGCAAGATAGTCTCGAGCGTACACTGCAAAGCCTCCGCGTATCACGCCATATTTTGTGACCTCGAGCCCGCCCTAGACGGCATCGATCAAACAGTCCTCCTCGTGGAGGAGGTGGATGAACACGCAGGACAAATAGGAGGAGAAGGACGAGGAAGGGAAAAAGGGATGGGTAGTGCTAGGTAATGGTGGCGGTTGGTATGAGGACGGTGGCGTGGAGGAGAAATATGTAGATGGTTGCGATGATCAAGACGCTGATGATGGTTGCAGCGATGAAACTAGTTCACGATAGTGATCATGGTGAGGAGGTTCGTAGGGGTAATGGTGATGACGCTGGTTAAGGCGGTGGTAGCGATGATGATTATGACGGTGATGATGGCGATGGTGATGGTGGTGATAGCGGTTCAGCGATGGCGATGGTGACGAAGGCGGGGCGGCGGGCGCTGGCGGCACAATTCCGCGATCTGCCTTGCCGTCGCAATGCGGTGACGGACTTGCTGCGTCCAGTCGGGGGGGGGGCGACAAAGAGGAGAGTGGGTCGCAGATGGAACACGTGTGTCGGCATAAATTGCTGCAACTCCGCGCAGACTTCTTGGATCGGCGCTGCGCCCCCCTGGCGGCGCATCCAGCTCCGCCATTGGCGCACTCCGCACGACAGGGACGGGGGCCCCAGCGCCCAGGCGTCTGCGCGGAGCTCTGAGCGTTCTTCAAGAGGAGGAGGAAGAGGAGGAGGAGGAGGAGGAGGAGGAGGAGGAAAAGGGGGACGAGGAGGAGGAGGAGGAGGAGGAGGAGGAGGAGGAGGAGGAGGAGGAGGAGGAGGGGGAGGAGGAGGAGGAGGAGGGAGGGGGAGGAGGAGAGAAGGGGAGGGGGAGGAGGAGGAGGAGGAGGAGGAGGAGGAGGAGGAGGAGGAGGAGGCGTTGTTTCACTCTGCGTTTGGGGATGCCTCCTCCTGGGAGGAGGCGGAGGTGCCCGCGCCGCGAGGACCTCCTGGCCTGCTCCTCGGGCCGGGACGAGCACGGGTCCATACACGCGGGGGGCCCAGAGGGCCGACCCCGCTCCCGTGGCCTCGGGTGGGGCGCGGGAGTCACGCAGGACGGCCCGGCAGGAGGGCTCTGACCAAGGGTCGGGGCTCAAGAGACGGGGGTCAATGCAAACGGGGGTCACCCAGAACGCGGGATCTTGCAGGATGCTGCAGGGCCAGGGTCGCATTGACCCGGGCTTGGGCGCAGGATCCTGCAGGATGTTGCAGCATCCGTCGCGTTGACTTGGGTTTGGGCGCAGGATCTTGCAGGGTTCTGCAAGGCTTGACTGACCCGGGTCTGGGTTGACCCGGGTCAGAAGACTCCCGAAAGGGAGGAAAAAGCACCCGGGCCGGACAATTGGCGTCTACTGAACGGCCCTGGGCGTTTACTGAAAGCCCTCCCCCTGTCCGATTCCTTCCGTAACGGCCTCGCTTGTCGGAGTGGTTATTCTCGGGGTGGATTTTTTGCCTTCTACCTGAGGTCCGGGGGGCACTGCTCGCTGTGTCCACACTTGGCGCTCTCGCCCCTGTCTGGCCCCCGGGACCCTTGCAGATCGATCTTGCTCGATAGGTGCCTCAGGAATTTTGGGCTTGAGGCTCTGGTCGGGTTTTTGCCACGGTGCTCCATGTTGTCGCGACGTCGGACCTCAGGCGAGGAGGAGGGTGAACAGCAAGAGGATAGGCAGGAGGGCACGGACGCAGATGATTAGGATAATGACAAGTAGGTGGAAGGGCGAGGCGGTGGTGGTGGGGGCGGGGTTGGGTAAGCGAGGTGCGCTCGCATCATGCCTGAGGTCCTGCCCTTTCCTCCCGTGTCGAAGAAGACATGGTCCCCAAGGGTAAACGCCGCACAACATTGCATGACATAGCATGGCGTAGGAGACCACCGCAGAGCGTAGCATGGCGCAGCATGGTGTGGCACTGCGTAGGCACCAGGGCGGAGAGTCGTGAGGCAATGCCAAAAGCAAGGCCTGCACCGCGTCGAGAGTGCCAGTCCTTCGGACGCAGGTCCCAGGGCATGTCAGGAATGCGGCTGCAGAAATGAGGCGAATGATGGAGCCAGGGCACCGTTGGGACGGACCGGTACTTCAACGTGAAGCCCACTCTGTAGGCAGAATGCTAATTTGAACGACTGACAGGAGCGGGGGCACCGTTTGAAGGATCGAAGACGCAGAAACTAGGCCAGCGACGCAGCGGGAGCACCTTGACAGTGCGGAAAGAACCCCAGCGCAGCAGCGGGAGCACCACGGGAAGAACCGAACAAGCTCGGACGGGAGACCCACATCAGAAACATCAATTATGGACATCTTGTGCGCAAGGTCTCTGACAGGGAGAGGATGGCGCACTCTGAACACGCCTTCGGGGGATAGAGGGGAGCGGCTTTCGTATGGTGTGGATGTGGAAGACGAAGGGACATGCAATGATGAGCGAAGATGGTGATGCTGAGGAGGCGGAGAAAGACAGCGAGATGGAGAGGGCAAACCTGGGGGAGATGGAAGACGGGAGGGGGGCGAGGAGGAGGGAACAGGGGCGAGGCGATGGAGGAGGAGGCAGAGAGAATTGACGGATATGGAGGGGATCAAGAAAGTAGGGTGAGTAGTATTTTATTTTGAATATTGTTTGGGATCGTCCGAAAACTCGCCTAGGACGACGAATAGAAAAAGACATCACGGTGAACGAACAGGGTGCATTGGAATTCTCAGAAGGGCCATGCAAACCAGACCCAGGCTTGCAGGATGGAGGCGGAGGATTGAACTGGACCTGGATTCCGCGCTGGGCCGATGCTAGACCAGGGTGGAGAGCAGTCAAAGCTCATCTAGCACCCTTACCCTCGCCTTTAGGCGTGGTCGGGGGTGCAAGCTGTCCTATCGAAGACGTCTACGGCGAATCACCGCCGCCCCCTGCCCCTTTGGAAGCGCCTATGTGGCCGACAGCTGGGCTAGAGCTTGGCCAAACTATCGGGCCAGTTGTTCCCCGAGTCGGTTTGGACAGCCTTCGGGGATCGTGTGGGGGAGCAATAGCAGGAGGATCAGGAGAGGGAGGGTGATGATAATTAGGAGGAGGAGGAGGATGAGAATGAGGATGATGGGAGGAGGAGGAGTAGGAGGAGGAGACTTATTGGGAACCGTCGTGCGAGGCCTCTTGGGAGGCCTCAGCGGAGCTTCCTGGGAGCCTTTTGGAGGCCTCTTAGGAGCCTCCCTGGGTCTCATGGTGGCTTCTTGGGGGCCTTTGGTAGCGTCTTGGGGGCCTCTTTGGCCGTCTCAGAGCGTTCCCGACCCGTCTGACACCGTCGGAAGCCGTCTGGGGGGGCCCTTCTGAACCGACTTGGGGCTCTCTTGGGGCGCTTCAGGGCCGTTTTGGAGGGTCTCTTGGACATCTTGGAGGTCGCCGTCTTGGGGGCCTCTGGGGCAGTCATGCGGCCATCTTGGAGGCCTCTTGGGCGATCTTGTGGCGACCTTAAGAGCCTCTTGGGCCGTCGGAAGGCCGACCAGGCGCAACTGCCAAAGTCTTTCGAACCTATACGGAAAATCAATGCTTTGGGCCTTTTCGGGCCTTCCTGGAGGAACTCTGGGAGGCCTCCAGGGCAGTCTGGGAGGCCTCTTTGGGACCTCTTGGGCCGTCTTGGGGCATCTTGAGGCCATCTTGGCCCGTCGTGGGTGCTTCTTGGGCCGTCTTGAAGACATCTTGGGACCATCTTAGCCGTCTTGGAGGCCATCTTAGCCGTCTTGGAGCCCTCTTAGGGCCCTCTTGGAGCCGTCTTGGGAGCCTCTTGGGCCGTCATGGAGCCATCTTGGAGGCTTCGTGGGTGATCTTGGAGCGATCTTGGGGGCCTCTTGGGCCGTCTTGAGCCGTCGGGATGCCAAACCTAGGCAACTCACTGGATTTGGCCCCTTCGGGCCCTCCTGGAGGACCTCTTGGAGGCATCTTGGGCAGTCTTGGATGCTTCTTGGACGCCTCTTAGGCCGTCTTGGGCCATCTTGCGGCTATCGTAGGCCGTCTTGGGTACACCTCGGGCCGTCTTGGAGGCGCTTTGAGGCCATCTTAGCTGTCGTGGAGGCCACCTTGGCCGTCGTGGAAGCATCTTGGAGGCCAGATTGGGCCATCTTGAGCGACGAAGCCGATGCGACAGGCAGCTGGCGAGACGCGCCGAAGTCTCAGGGGGAGTTCTGTTGGAACAAGAACAAAAACCATAACGTAAGAAATCTAGCACGCCAGACACCCCAGTGATGAATCAACAGGGGGCGGCGGATCGAAGACGCCTACGGCGAATCACCGCCGCCCCTTGCCTTTCTGGAAGCGCCTATTTGGCCGAACGTTGAGGCCAGACCTGCCAAGCTATCGGACCATGTGTTCCCCGAATCGGTTTGGAAAGCCTTCGGGGAACACGTGGGCATCTTGAAGGTCATCTTGGCCGCCTGGAGGCCATCATGACCCTTTCGGGCCGTCTTGGAGGACGTCTTGGAGGGCGCTTGGGCCGTCTTGGAGGCCATCTTGAGCATCTTGGAGGCCTCTGCGGCCATCTTGGGGGCGTCCGACGCCGTCGGACGCCGTTTGGGGGGCCTCTTTGAGCCGACTTGGGGCCCTCTTGGAATGCTCCAGGGCCGTCTAGGAGGCCATCTTGGGCGTCTTAAAAGCCTCCTGGGCCGTCTTGGGGGCCTCTTGGGGCCGTCTTGGGGGCCTCTGGGGCCGCTCTGGGGCCATTTTGGAGGCCTCTTGGGCGATCTTTGGGCGATTTTTGGGGGCTCTTGGGCCGTCACGGGCCGTCGGAAGGCCGAACCGAAGCACATGTCAACATCCTTCGAACACCTATGGACAATCAGTGCTTTTGGCATTTTCTGGCCTTCCTGGAGGCCCTCCTGGAGGCCTCTTGGGCCGTCTTGGGCCAGCTTCGAGCCAACTTCGGCTATCTTGGTGGGCTCCTGGCCAGTCTGACGCCGTCGGAAACCGTTTGGGGGCCTTTCTGGGCCGACTTCGGGCCCTCTTGGGGTGCTCCAGGGCCGTCTTAGAGGCCATCTTGGGCGTCTTGGAGGCCTCTTGGGTCGTCTTCGTGCCCTCTTGGGGGCCTCTTGGGCAGTTCCGAGGCCATGTTGGAGTCCTCTTGGGCGCTGTGGGGGCGGTCTTGGGGGCCTCTCGGGCCGTTTGGGGTCGTTCTTGGAGGCCTCTTGGGTCGTCTTGAAGGCCTCTTGGGCACCTCTTGGGCCGTCTTGGGCCGTCTTGGAGGCTTCTTCGGCGGACTTGGAGGCATCTCCTCCTCTCTTGGGCGGACTTGGATACCATCTTGGAGACCATCTTGGGCCAACGTGGCCATCTTGGAGGCCATCTTCAGCCGTCTTGGAGGAAGCATTGGGGACATCCTGCTCCGTGGCAATCCTCCCGGGACCCCGGCGGGACGCGCCGGAGCCCCAGGGGGAGTTCTGTTGGAACAAGAACAAAAACCGAGAGGTCTGGCACGCCAGGCACCCCTGCGACGACAGGGGGCAGCGGATCGAAGACGCCTACGGCGAACCACCGCCGCCCCCTGCCTTTTTGGAAGCGCCTATGTGGCCGAACGTTGAGGCCAGACCTGCCAAGCCATCGGACCATGCGTTCCCCGAATCGGTTTGGAAAGCCTTCGGGGAACACGTGGGCATCTTGAAGGTCATCTTGGCCGTCTTTGCAGAGATCGGGCACCGTGATGGCTGTCACGGAGTCTGCGCTTGAAGCCTTTTGGCCCGAGAGGCTTTCGGCTTGATACGGACTGAGAAAAGGTTCATCAGTTTCCCTCTTCATGGTATTGCGGAGCCTGGTTGGATCCTCGGTCTGAGAGACCGCCGGGGAGATCGCTCGCCGGCGAGACGCGGCACGAGATGGCGACCAACGAGGAGCTGTTCCGACAGATGCAGGCCCTGACCGCGGAGGTGCAGAGGCTAAGCGAGGAGAACGCTCGACTTCAGCGCGAGCAGCAAGGCGGGCTCCAGGCCATCCCGGCCCTCGTGGATGCTGTGACCCGCCTGACGGGTAGGCCCGACCAGTTCCAGAGGCTCGTCGACACGAAAGGGATCGGCAAGCCCTCGGTGTTCGACGGGTCGGAAGCCAAGTACCGCGAATGGGCTGCCAAGTTCGAGTCGTTCGTAGTCGGAGTCTTCGGCGAGCAGTTCAGGGCGGTGCTGGAGTGGAGCGTCGAGCGGCACGACTCGATCGATCGCGGGCTCTGGCAGGCGGCTTTCGGGCCGCACAGCGAAGGCGAGATCGACCACATCGACGAGATGGTGGCGCAGCTGCACGCGGCGATCCAGCAGCTCGTGACGGGCGAGCCCTTCGACATCACTCAGAACGTCGACAAGGGCAACGGGCTCGAGTGCTGGAGGCGCCTCGCGAGGAGGTTCGACCCTTCCACCGGCGGGCGGAAGCGGAACTTGTTGAAGCAGGTGCTCTCGCCCGGGCGCTGCAAGCTCGAGGAGCTCGCGGGTGCCCTGGAGAGGTGGGAGGAGGCCGTGAAGCGGTACGAGTCCAGGAGGGACGACGACGGCAACCGCGAGCGGCTCTCGGACAGCGTGCGGATGTCGGCCTTGGAGAGCCTACTACCGGCTGAGCTCGAAGAACACGTTCTTCTCAACCAGAGCCGCCTGAACACCTACGAGCTGCTCAGGAGGGAGATCGCGTCACACCTGGAGGCCAGGACCGGTGCTCGACTTCGAGACGCCCCGGTGCTCACCAAGGCGCAGCGCGACCCCAACGCCATGGACATCGGCGCCCTGGTCCGCGCGCACCAGAGCGGGAAGACCGGCAAGGACAAGGGCGGCAAGGGCAAGACGGGCACTGGCAAAGGCAAGGACGACAAAGTTAAGAAAGGAGGTAAGGGCTCAGGCTCAGGCTCAGGCAAGGGGTCTGACACGTCCCACCTCGTCTGCTGGAACTGCGGGCGTTCGGGGCACAAGAGCTCGGACTGCTGGAGACCGTCGGCCTCGGCGGAGGTGATCGCCAAGGCTAACGCTAAAGCCAAGGGCAAGCAGAAGCCGAAGGGCGGCGGCAAGCACGACGCGGGCGCGCTGGACGTCGGGAAGTCCGAGGAGGAGTCCCCGGGCGACTGGGAGCCAGAGGACCACATGTTCTTGGAGCTGTTCTCCGCCGAGCGCGAGGAGAGCGCGAAGGAGGTGAACAGGAGGATCGTGGACGACAAGGGCTGGGTGAAGGTCAACTTCGACAGCGGATGCGCGAGCTCGGTGATCCCCCGCGCATGGACTCCAGCGACTTCGGCCCCTTCGAGTCAGAGGTTCAAGACGGCGAGTGGTGGTATCATCGCAGACGAGGGCGGCGGGGTGCTGGAGGGCGTCAACGAGAATGGCGCCAGGATGCGCCTCGCCGGGCGCAGGGCTGCCGTTACCAAACCCCTCGTCTCGGCCAGCGAGATGCTCAGGAAGAGGATCGGCATCCTGGACGAGAGCTGCGGCATGGTGATCGAGAAGGGTTCCACTGCCGGACGGGCGATCATGAAGCTGGTCGCTAAGCTCAAGGAGACTGGAGCGCTGGAGAACAACATCAGGTTGCACCAGGAGCGCGGGGTATACAACGCCTACCTGAAGTTGCCGGAGGAGAAGGCCAGGGAGCTGGAGCAGCTGCCGCTGAACACGATCGAGTCGGAGCTGGCCCATCGCCGAGCCGAAGCGGATCTACTCGCTCGAGCACGCGCAGGGCTTGCTTCGCCGGCCCGGCTTCCCGCCTTGCAGGCGTCGGGGGGCAGCCGGCGGGTACCACCGTAAGTCCGAGCGCGCCGCCAGCAGCCGGGCAGCTGGCAGGAGGCACGGAAGCCCCGGTGGAGCAGCGAGGAGGACCGCTGCCCCAGGAGGAGGAGGCTCGAGAGCAGCGCGGCAGGCCGCCGCGGGTTCGGCTGGCTAGGAGTCCAGCCCAGCCGACCGCTCTCGAGATCGAGGAGCACGAGGCGCAGGGCCACGTCCACTTCAGGTCCTGGTGCCCTTCGTGCTGTGCATCGCGTGGGACTGGCCAAGCGCATCGTGGACATCAACCTGCTGAGGGAGAGGTCCCTACGGTCGTCACCGACTACGGCTACCTCAACGCTAGCGAGTCGGACAGCAGAGGCCGCGACGCCAGCTCTGCGATCACGGTGTTGGTGATGCACGACTGCTTGCCGAGCGGGACGGGCTGCTACGGCGCGAGCTCGGTCCCGGCCAAGGGGAAGGACGACTTCAGCTCGAGCGTGGCGGTCGACTTCTTCAATCACATCGGCCACAAGAGGTGCATCTACCAGTCGGACGGCGAGAACCCGCTGCTGGCGCTCAAGAGGGACGTCTGCAGCAAGGCCGAGGGGAAGGAGCTGCTGCTTCGCGAGAGCCCGGTGGGAGAGCACCAGGCGAATGGAGCAGCCGAGAACGCGGTGAAGGTCATCAAGGGCGTCGTCAGGACGGTGCTGGTGTCGGCCCAGGCCAAGTGGAAGCATCGTCTGCCGTTCGGGCACCCGCTGATGCTGTGGGCCCCCACCTATGCGGCCCAGATGCTGAATAGGTTCAAGATCGGCGACGACGGCAAGACGAGTGAGCAGAGGAGGTCTGGCAAACGCTGGGAGAAGGTGACGGTTCCCTTCGGCGAGCGCATCCAGGTGAAGAAGCTGGTGAAGGACTCGCTCAAGCGCGACCTGGAACCCCGCTGGGTCACGGGCTACTACGTGGGCCACACCAGCAGGAGCGGCACGGCGCTGGTGCTCACCTCGAAGGGGGTGCAGCGCGGCACGGCGATCTCACGCCTGCCGCCCGCCGAGCGCTGGGCCTGGAACGAGGAAGAGGTCCTCGGGCTCAAAGGCAAGCCTTGGGACTGGAAGGGCGGCGAGGAGCGCTACGCGGCAGCTCCGGCGGACGTCGCCCCGAGAGCTGGGCGCATGGATGCGCCAGTGGTGGTGGCGCTGCCAGCAGCCGCGGAGCCGCGAGACGTGGGCTTCTACGTCACCAGGGCCAACATCCTGGACGCGGGCATCGGGCCGACCGAGGGCTGCGTCGCCTGCGAGAACCTGGTGGCTACTGGTCGCGCAGGAATTGCCCACTCGGAGCTGTGCCGACAGCGCGTGATCGAGGCGCTGGCGGCTCGAGGTGATGAGCGACTTCGCCGGTTCAGGGAGGCGAAGGCAGCTGAGGAGGCTGAGGAGAAGCAGGCGAGAGGAGGCGAGGCGGGCCGGGCGGCGCCAGGAGCCGCCGCCGCCGCGCCGCCTCCCCCACCAGCCCCGAGAGACCTCGAGGGCAGGAGAGGCGCGAAGCAGGCGCGGGCGGATCCGCCGCCCGTGGGGTCTTCGGCGCCGCGCGTCAGGAGGCGCGAGGAGGAGCAGCCGCCCCAGGAGGCGCGTGCAGCCCCCCAGCCTATGGCGGTGGACCTTCGGGGCGCGGCCCCGAGGCCAGCAGGAGGAGGTGCAGGAGCGCCGCTCTCGCTCCCTACGCCGGCCGCGGGCCCTGGAGGCCTGGAGCCAGCGTCCGCGGCGGCTTCGGGCTCAGGAGGCCCGGCGCCGGCGGCGGCAGCACCAGGCCCAGGAGGCGCTGGACCTGCTGCCATGGAGACGGGCGGACTCGAGGAAGTGCCGCTCGAGTTGCAGTCGCTCGCGTTCTCGGAGTACTGCAACCCAGGATGCTTCACTGAGCTTGCTGGGGAGTTTGGCATGCTCCCAGGGCTAGCGGCGGACATCAGCCTCAAGGACCGGGAGTCCCAGGAGGCGCTGGACATGAGGAAGATCGTGAACCAGCAGAGGTACATGCAGGCGCTCGAGGACCAGGACCCCTACTTGGTCATCGGGGCGCCGCCCTGCACGCGCGTCTCGAAGCTGACGAGCTTGAACCGCGGCAAGTACAAGGACCCGGAGGCGCACGCCAAGGCCGAGGAGGACGATCGTGCGTTGCTTCGCTTCGGGATGGAGGTCTACAAGGATAGGCACGCCAAGGGCAGGTGGTTCTTGCACGAGCACCCTTGGGACGCCAAGTCGTGGGACGACGAGGCGGTGAAGGAGGTGATCTCGCTCCCGGGGGTGTACCTCGTGCGAGGGGACATGTGCGCCTGGGGCCTGGAGCTCAAGGGCGACGACGGGAAGGTCGGGCCGGTCAAGAAGAGCACCGGCTGGCTGACCAACAACCAGCGCCTTGCTAAGGCGCTAGCAGTCTGTTGTCCTGGGGGACATCGACACGCACCGCTACTTGGCGGAGGCCGTGCTAGGAAGGTGCAGTCCTACACGCCTTCGCTACGCCGCGCGATCTTGCAGGGGCTCAAGGAGGAGCTCGAGGTCGCGGGCGAGATCAACTCGTTCGAGGGCGTCGGGCCGGTGCCAGACGAGGAGGCGCAGTACTTCAAGCCAGACGCCCCTCCAGGTGCAGCGGAGTCAGACAATTGGTACTGGGACGACGTCAACGGGGGCTGGCTCGACCCTGCGGGGGCGCGGGCCGCGCGCCAGGAGGAGCTGGCCTGGATGAAGCATCGCGAGGTGTTCGAGCCGAGCGACGAGGAGACCTGCAGGCGCCTGACCGGTCGGGCGCCGCTACGGACGCGCTGGGTCGACACCAACAAGGGCGACGAGCAGAGGCCAAAGCACCGCTCCAGACTGGTCGCGATGGAGATCAAGGCTGCGAAGAAGGCGTCCGAGCAGATGAGCGCGAGCGAGCTCTTCAGCAGTACGCCGCCGTTGGAGGCGGTCAAGCTCCTGTGCTCGCTCATGGTCTCGATGGGCCGTTCGCCCCGAGGACTCCCTCTCAAGATCGGCTTCTGGGACGTCAGCCGGGCGCACCTGTACGGAGTCGCCCAGAGGGTCTTGTTCGTTCGTCTTCCAGAAGAGGAAGGAGGAGGAGTCGCTCGCCTGCTACGTTCCATGTACGGTACTCAGGACGCGGCTTCAGTGTGGCAGAGCGACTGGAGTCGACAGCTCTGGGAAGATTCGTGGCGCATGGGCGTGGCAAGCCCAGCTGTGTTCTATCGTTCCAGTGATGAAGGTCGCGGGTTGGCTCACGGCGACGACTTCATGGTGCTCGGCGACGAAATCACGCTGAAGGAGATCGAGACGAAGCTAACCGAGCGCTACGACATCAAGTGCACCGGGATCTTGGGTCCCGACAGCGGGGACGCGAAGGAGGTCGTGTTCCTCAACAGGGTGTTGCGGTACGTTGACGGCTCCACCCCGGCGGTGGAGATCGAGTCGGACCAGAGACACGTGGAGCTGCTGATCAAGGAGCTTGGCCTCGAGAACGAGTCGAAGGGCTTGGACGTGCCGTCGGTCAAGAAGACGGAGGCGGACATCGACTACGAGGCGAAGCTCAGCACGCTGCCCCTGGACGAGGTTCGCCGGTATCGAAGCGTAGTGATGCGTGCTGCCTACCTCACCTTGGACAGGCCAGACATCGTCGACGCGGTCAAGCAGTGTTCGAGGCGCATGCAGGCGCCGACGTCAGCGGACATGATGATGGTCAAGAGGCTTGGGAGGTATCTCGTCAAGCACCCGTGCCTAGTCGCGAGGTTCAACAAGCAGAAGATGCCTGACAGGATCACGGCCACCTGCGACTCGGACTACGCGGGCTGCCTCATCACCAGGAAGTCGACGAGCGGGACCGTCCTGGCGTTCGGGGAGCACACGCTGTCGGCTACGGGATCGCTGCAGAGCACGGTGTCCCTTTCGAGCGGCGAGGCCGAGTACTACGGCATCCTCCGTGCGGCTGCTGCCGCGCTCAAGGTTGCTGCCATCGCCGTGGACCTCGGGCTCGAGAAGAGCGTCGAGGTCGTCTGCAAGCACGGGGAGTTCCCGGTAGAGGTCTGCGGGGACTCGACCGCGGCGATCGCGTTCGCATCGCGCCAGGGCCTGGGTCGTCAGAAGCACGTGATGACGAGGTACCTGTGGCTTCAGAGCGCGGTCAAGGCCAAGAGGATCAAGCTCAAGAAGGTCGACACACGGGAGAACGTGGCCGACTCCTTGACCAAGCCGTTGTCGGCGAAGGTGGTCCAGAAGCATCTCAAGAGGATGGGGTACCACTTCAGGTCGAGGTGGAGCGCCCTGCACCGGACGATCGCCAAGAGATCGGCGACGTGAGGTTCATGAGCGGGGTGCTGTGCCAGCTTTTCGTGATGGGCACGTTGCCCGTCCCACCATTTTCCTGTCGCTTCGCGACGCTTGCACGACCGGCCTGTGCGGCGAGACGGTGCCTGGTGGTGGCTGCCTAGCTTAGGGGCTAGTTGCCAAGGAGGAGTGCAGAGATCGGGCACCGTGATGGCTGTCACGGAGTCTGCGCTTGAAGCCTTTTGGCCCGAGAGGCTTTCGGCTTGATACGGACTGAGAAAAGGTTCATCAGTTTCCCTCTTCAGTCTTGGAGGCCTCTTGGCCGATCTTTCGGCGATCTTTGGAGGCTCTTGGGCCATCTCGGGCCGTCGGAAGGCCGAAAAGAAGGAAATTCAAAATCCGTCAAACACCGAAGGAAAATCAATGTTTTTGGCCTCTTCTGGCCTTCCTGGAGGCCCTCTAGGGGGCCTCTTGGGCCGTCTTGGGCCAGCTTCGAGCCAAACCCGGCCATCTTGGTGGGTTCCTGGCACGTCTGACGCCGTCGGGAGCCGTCTTGGGGGCCTTTCTGGGCCAACGGGGGACCCTCTTGGAGCGCTTCGGGGCCGTTTTGGAGGCCATCTTGCGTGTCTTGGAGGCCGTCTTGGGCGTGTTGGAGGCCTCTTGGGCCGTCTTGGGGCCCTCTTGGGGCCATCTTGGAGGCCACTTGGGCCGTCATGGGGCCCTCTTGGGGGCCTCTTAGGCGATCTCGGGGGCCTCCTGGGCCGTCTTGAGCCGTCGGAATGCCGAGAAGAAGCAAATTCCAGAATCCTTCAAAAACCTAAGGAGAAGCAATGATTTTGGCCTCTTCGGGCCCTCCTGGAGGACCTCTTGGAGGCCTCTTGGGCCGTCTGGGAGGCCTCCGGGGGGCCTCTTGGGCCGTCTTGGACTCTCTTGGGCCGTCTTGGATGCCGTCTTGGACCATCTTGGGCGGACTTGGAGGCCATCTTGGGCCATCTTCGCGATTTGTTGAGGATGTCCCGAGAGAAACGGCCGTTTCAGGGAGGATTGTTCGTGGAGTTTGTGCACGTGGGCAGGCCTCTCGGTACCCCGGCGGGACGGGCCGAAACCCATTGGGAGAGTTCTTTTGGAAAAAGAACCAAAACCAAAACCGAGAGGTCTAGCACGCCAGGCCCCCCTGCGATGAATCGACAGGGGGCGGCGGATCGAAGACGCCTACGGCGAATCACCGCCGCCCCCTGCCTTTTGTGGAAGCGCCTATGTGGCCGAACGTTGAGGCCAGACCTGCCAAGCTATCGGACCATGTGTTCCCCGAATCGGTTTGGAAAGCCTTCGGGGAACACGTGGGCATCTTGAAGGTCATCTTGGCCGCCTGGAGGTCATTTTGACCCTTTCGGGCCTTCTTGGAGGACGTCTTGGAGGGCTCGTGGGCCATCTTGGAGGCCATCTTGAGCGTCTTGGAAGTCTCTTGGGCCGTCTTGGGGGCCTCTTGGGGTCATCTTGGGCGCCTCTGGGGCCGCTCTGGGGCCATCTTGGAGGCCTCTTGGGCGATCCTTGGGCGATCTTTGGGAGCTCTTGGGCCGTATCGGTCCGTCGGAAGGCCGAAACGAAGCAAATGTCAAAATCCTTCAAAAACCATAGGAACATCACTCTTGTTTGCCTTTTCTGGCCTTCCTGGAGGCCTCTTGGGCCGTCCTGGGCCAGCTGCGAGCCACCTTCGGCCATCTTGGTGAGCTCCTGGCCCGTCTGGCGCCGTCGGAAGCCGTTTCGGGGCCCTTTCTGGGCCGACTTGGGGCCCTTTTGGAATGCTCCAGGGCCGTCTTAGAGGCCATCTTGGTTGGGCGTCTTCGAGGCCTCTTGGGCCGTCTTGGCGCCCTCTTGGGGCCGTCTTGGGAGCCTCTTGGGCCGTCATGGGGCCATCTTGGAGGCCTCTTGGGCAATCTTGGGACGAACTTGGGGGCCTCTGGGGCCGTCACGGGCCGTCGGAAAGCTGAACAGGCGCAAATGCCAACATCCTTCGAACACCTAAGGACAATCAAGGATGTTGGCCTCGTCGGGCCTTCCTGGAGGAACTCTTGGAGGCCTCTTGGGCCGTCTTGGAGGCCTCTTGCGGGCTTTTTAAGCCGTCTTAGACCAGATTGAGGCCATCTTGGGCCGTCTTGGAGGCATCTTTGGGCCATCTTAGCCGCCTTGGAGGCCATCTTGGCCGTCTTGGAGGCATCTTGGAGGCCATCTTCGGCCATCTTGAGCAAAACAAGCCGACGAGATTGGAGATTGAGCGCCTTCCGGGTGGCCGGCGGGACGGGCCGAAGCCCCAGGGGGAGTTCTTTTGGAAAAAGAACCAAAACCAAAACGCCTACGGCGAATCACCGCCGCCCCCTGCCTTTGTGGAAGCGCCTATGTGGCCGACCGTTGAGGCCAGACCTGCCAAGCCATCGGACCATGTGTTCCCCGAATCGGTTTGGAAAGCCTTCGGGGAACACGTGGGCATCTTGAAGGTCATCTTGGCCGTCTTGGAGGCCTCTTGGGCTATCTTTCGGCGATCTTTGGGGGCTCTTGGGCCATCTCGGGCCGTCGGAAGGCTGAAAAGAAGGAAAATGTCAAAATCCGTCAAACACCGAAGGAAAATCAATGTTTTTGGCCTCTTCTGGCCTTCCTGGAGGCCCTCTTGGGGGCCTCTTGGGCCCTTTTGGGCCAGCTTCGAGCCAACTTCGGCCATCTTGGTTGGTTCCTGGCACGTCTGACGCCGTCGGGAGCCGTCTTGGGGGCCTTTCTGGGCCAACCGGGGACCCTCTTGGGGCGCTTCGGGGCCGTCTTGGAGGCCATCTTGGGCGTCTTGGAGGCCATCTTGGGCTTGTTGGAGGCCTCTTGGGCCGTCTTGGGGCCCTCTTGGGGCCATCTTGGAGGCCACTTGGGCCATCATGGGGCCCTCTTGGGGGCCTTTTGGGCGATCTCGGGGGCCTCTTGGGCCGTCTTGAGCCGTCGGAATGCCGAGAAGAAGCAAAATTCCAAAATCCTTCAAAAACCTAAGGAGAAGCAATGAGTTTGGCCTCTTCGGGCCCTCCTGGAGGACCTCTTGGAGGCCTCTTGGGCCGTCTGGGAGGCCTCCGTGGGGCCTCTTTGGCCGTCTTGGGCTGCTTGGACTCTCTTGGGCCGTCTTGGATGCCGCCTTGGACCATCTTGGGCGGACTTGGAGGCCATCTTGGGCCATCTTCTCGATTTGTTGAGGATGTCCCGAGAGAAACGGCCGTTTCAGGGAGGATTGTTCGTGGAGTTTGTGCACGTGGGCAGGCCTCTCGGTACCCCGGCGGGACGGGCCGAAACCCATTGGGAGAGTTCTTTTGGAAAAAGAACCAAAACCAAAACCGAGAGGTCTAGCACGCCAGGCCCCCCTGCGATGAATCGACAGGGGGCGGCGGATCGAAGACGCCTACGGCGAATCACCGCCGCCCACTGCCTTTGTGGAAGCGCCTATGTGGCCGAACGTTGAGGCCAGACCTGCCAAGCTATCGGACCATGTGTTCCCCGAATCGGTTTGGAAAGCCTTCGGGGAACACGTGGGCATCTTGAAGGTCATCTTGGCCGTTTGGGAGGCCTCTGTGGAGCCTCTTGGGCCGTCTTGGGCCGTCTTGGACTCTCTTGGGCCGTCTTGGAGGCCGCCTTGGACCATCTTGGGCGGACTTGGAGGCCATCTTGGACCACCTTGGAGGCCATCTTGGGCCATCTTGGAGCCGTCTTGGGCAGAAAAGTAGGGAATTGAGGTCCGTGGGAAAAAAATCCGGGACCCCGGCGGGATGGGCCGAAATCCACTGGGAGAGTTCTTTTGGAAAAAGAACCAAAACCAAAACCGAGAGGATTTGGCACACCAGGCCCCCCTGCGAAGAATCGACAGGGGGCGGCGGATGACGGAAAGCGCGCGTTAGCGTGCGGTCCGTTAGCCGGAAGAAATTGGACTTGGGGGAGTTCGAGGGGGTTGGCATCCACGGGCCCGGATCTAATTGCCCTCCCGCTTCGTTTTTTATCGAGTAGGACGGCCTTCGGGGCTTAAAATCAGCGTTTCGCTCGAGACATCATCGGAAAACGATAATTGGGCGCTTCTTGGGCCGTCTCAGGCGCCTAAGACAGCCCAAGAAGCGGCCAAGACGGCGCCCAAGACGGCCCAAGACGGCCCAAGAAGCGCCCAAGACCTCCCAAGAGCGCTCCAAGAGAGCCCAAGACCGCCCAAGGTGGCCCCAAGACGTCCCAAGAGGCCTCCACGACGCCCCAGGAGGCGCCCACGAGGCGTCCCAAGAGGGCCCCACGAGGCCAAACTCATTGATTATCTGCAGGAAAACGTGCATTTTTAGCATATGCGACTTTTCGCCTTTCATGGCGTTGAAGACGGTCCAAGAGGCCCCCAAGACCGCCCCAAGACGGCCCAAGATGTTCCCAAGAGGCCCCCAAAATAGCCCAAGAGGGCGCCAAGACGGGCCAAGAGGCGCCCAAGACTGTCCAAGAGGCCCCCAAGAGCGCCCCAAGAAGGCCAGGCCCAAGAGGCCCCCAAGAGGGCCCAAAAACTGCCCAAGAGGGCGCCAAGACGGCCCAAGAGGCGCCAAGACGGCCCAGGACGGCCCCAGGACGGCCCCAAGAGGCCCCCAAGAGAGCCCAAGGACGGCCAAAGGCAGCCTAGTCCCTTCACCCCCGCCACCCAGAAGCTCCCAGGAGGCCCCAAGAGGCCCCCGAGAAGCCCCAAAAGGTCCCCAAGAGGCACCCAAGAGGCTCCCCAAGAGGCACCCAAGAGGCTCATAATACTCCCAAAGGCTCTTAGCACCGCGGCTCCCAAGAGCGAGCGGTGACGTAATCGAGCTGATAAGACCAAAGCTCCCAACAGAGAGCTGCGGCGTAATAAGTTCTTGACGCCAGGGCACAGGGACGGGCGGCAACGCGTGGACAACGAGCGGTCCACGCAAGGACAACTCGGGGTTCTGGAAAGCTGGTAGCCCAAACGCGGAAAACGCAACGCGACCCGACCGCCCCCTCCCAAACAAGAAACGCGC